TGTTTGTCAGAAAAATGCTTTCCCTCCCCCTCAAAAGGCAATTAGTCTTTCTTGCCTTTTTTCCTTTGAAACAGAACTGAAGAAGCTTCTTGGATGAGAAGCGAAACGTTTTCAAAGGAAAAAAAATCAAGAAAGCCCAATTGCCTTTTGAAAAAAAGCACCTTTGAGAGTAGCAATTTTTTTTTTTATTGATCAAGCTATCATTGGCTAGCTTGAAGTTCTGTATTAGGAGAAGAGGCTGCTTCCTTTTCAAGTAACCCAGAGTTGTTTTGAACCAGAACAAAATGCTATAGAGTAGACCCAATAATAGTTGCAATCCTGATGCATTTTCTTCCTGGCACAGCAAATTCCCCTGTGCCAAAAACACTTTCCTTTTCTGATGGCATCCAAATGTATGCATTTTCTATTTGCTTTTGGGCAGCCAACATTTTGTAGCTCAGCCCAGGATTTGCAAGAAATTGTGCATGGTTTTGCTTTGCCAAGACATTACCTTACATTCAAAGGCATTCATTTATTCATTTGTTTGTTTGTTTTCCCAATCTTATTTAACTTTATAAATAACTGAACACATTTTCCTCTCCTATTTTCCCCGTAACTGTCACCCTGTGAGGTGGCTTGGACTGAGTGTGTGACTGGCCCAAGGTCACCCAGCTGGCTTTAATGTCTATGGTGGGACTAGAACTCACGGTCTCCTGGTTTCTAGCCCCAAGAGATAACTATCCAGCCTCTGATTAGACACATCCAGTGAAGGGGATCCCATCTCTATGCTGGTTCACAGATTCTACTGATCACTGATGTTGTCATCACACTTAGTCTGTATCTAGATCAGGGGTGTCAAACCCAATCACATCGTGGGCCATATCAGGAATGTTTTTTGCCTTTGCGGAATAGGGGTGGGCGTGACCATAGGGCTGTCAGGGTTCCGATGGATGCCCTAATTAATTCATGAGCCTCGAGCCAACTCTGAAAAGAAATCCAATTATTTATTAGGAGCAATATGTCGGCACTTTCCCAAGTGCAGTCGGTTCTGTCCCACGTAATTTACTGTCCACCTAAGACCCTGTTTCCCCTCTCCTCCCAGGGTGTGTCATAAATCACATTCTCCAACGGAGCACTTTCACGGGCTGTAGATAACACGCCTCTCTGGCTTGCTCTAGTAATCTGGGATACAATCTGGAGAAAGGTATGCATGGAATGTGCTTCTGATCATAGCAACCGAGCTTCTCCCCACTCCTGCCTATGGCAACTCAAGAGCAGTCCAGGGATGCTGTACGAGTTGACAAGGGTGTGGTCTGCATGGGCTGTATCTGCCAGTTTGACAGGCCTGATCTAGATCTTTTGTATCATTATGCTGTTTCTGACTACAGCCGCAATAATTCTTTGGGTTCAAAAGTTGATGCATCAAAACATCAGTGATGCTGCCAGCTATATACAAGTGGTCAGGTATACACTACTCAAACTCTCCCAGTTATCTTTGTGTATCCTTTCACTGGGCAAAACGATATATTGTAGGGCTACAGTTTTTGAACCAAGGTACCTCAAAAGGGCTAACCTATAGAACAGTGGCCGGGGACCACTGGTGGTCCGCGAGAAAATTTTGGTGGTCTGAAGAGAAATGTCACTCCCAAAACACCCCCCAAAGCAATTAATCCAGGCTGTGTGGGAACACAGACTGCGCTGCCCATATGGCCCGCGAGAACATAAGGCTTGCGTAGCTTGCATTCTTTCTTCTTCTGCTTTTGGCTGCACGCAAGGAAAGCAGCAAAAGTCTTTCTTTCTCTCCCCCAAGCTCTGCCAGAAATGAGTCTTTGGGACCCAGCAAGGCATCCTGCTCCAAGAGGCTGTGCCAGCACAACAAGTCTCACAAAGACTCATTTCTGGAGGAGTTTGAGGGAGAGAAAGAAAGACTTCTGCTGCTTCTGCTGCTTTCCTTGCATGAAGCCAAAAGTTTCTCTCTCTCTCTCTTTCCCCCTGAGAACAGGGCTGGAGTCGGTATCCTGCGATCCCAAATAAAGAATATGGTAGGAAAACGGGGTGGGGAATTTTCCTGCAGACTTCTCAGGGTTTCTAGTCCACAGGATTTAAAATTATGAGTTTGGTGGTCTCTGAGGTCCAAAAGGTTGGCGACCCCTGCTACAGAAGGTATCCAACATCAGGACCGATAACTCCCATGTAATTGAAATTCGGCAAATTTTATAAAATATTTTATGACATTAAAATGATCACACATAATAAAAATGTCATAAAGTCGGCCCTGTGGTCAACTGTTGCTATACCGTTCAACATGGTCTACTTTCAAGGAAGATACATCTCTGAATGTCCCTTTCCACTTTTAAGAACTCTTACAGGGAAGGTCAAGGCAGTATATTCAAAGCTCAGTTGAAGGCATTGAGGAATCTGATCGGAAAAGATCTCTGAAATAATGACTCAACGGGATGCAGGTTGCCTATTCTGGAGTTCCCAAACCTTTTTTTGGCTTTGTGGACCAGTGGGGAGGGCGGATGGTCCTGCACACATGGTGGGCAAACACGCATATGCCGCTCTACTTGTGCAAGCGGTTAGCAAGCATGCACACTGCTCACCCTAATGCAGTCTATTCACGAGAGGAGATGTGCGCGCGCATGCAGTCTGGCGCCACATCCACAGCCTAGTTATGAAAAGCTTACAGCACGATAGAAGACCCTGGCCTGGGGAGTTGGGGGGCCCCTGGTTTAGTCAATGCTAAGCAGGGGTGGGATTCTCCCGTTTCGCACCTATTTGCTAGAACCGGTTGTTAACATTCTAAGCAGTTTGGAGAACCAGTTGTTAGAAGAAATTACTAGCCTAATCCTGTAAGGAAGGCAGGAAGGAAACATTCTGGTATTGCTTACAGAAACTGCCTCTCTGTTAACCCTTATTACATTCTTGGCAGGACTAGACTTCCTGTCTCAGGAACGTCTCTGGAATTTCTTTCCCCTCCTTTGCTTGTGTGGAGTGACTATTCGAAGTTACAATGGCACTGAAAAAGTGACTTATGACCATTTTTCACACTTACGACTGTTGCAGCATCCCCAGTCATGAGAGGCCAGGCGAGGAGTTTCGTACCTCAATGTGAGTGATATTGAGTTGGCCATGCCCAGCCAGTCACATGACCACCAAGTCACACCAACCACCTAAGCTACACCCACAGAACCAGTTATTAAAAATTTGAATCCCACCCCTGATGCTAAACCCACCAGTGGCATAGAAATAGATGTTTCAAAGCAGACTAAGAGTGGATCAAGCTATTTTCCAAGGCACTCAAAGGCCAGACGAGGAATAACAGATGGAAACTGAAGAAGGAGAGATTCAACCTGGAAATAAGGAGAAACTTTCTGACAGCGAGAACAATCAACCAACGAAACAGCTTTGCCCTTGGAAGTTGTGGGAGCGCCATCACTTGAGACTTTCAAGGAGAGATTGGACTGCCATTTGTCAGAAATGGTGTAGGGTCTCCCGCTTGGGCGGGGGATTGGACTAGATGACTTACAAGATCTCTTACAACTCTGATTATCTGTTATCTGTTACCTGGATTTGACATCCAGTCTACGTTCTATGATTTCAACACTTTTTTTTAAAGGAGGGGGTTTGCTTAAGGAAGAAAAAAAATAGCTTTTTCCAACGTTAACAAACCACCAGGTTGCCTGCCCAGCAGCCCTTGTATTGAAAAAGAGGCAACTAGATGGGTCAAGAATAATCTGTCAAATTTGAAAAATTTATAGGGGTTTCTCCTTCCAGGTTGCATTGAGACTAAACTGGTGGCGTTTTGAAAGAGTCTGAACAAAGTTCAGGATTTAGGCCAAAGGACCCAGTGTTTTTTCTCTGGTGGGATCGGTCTATCAGGGCAACCTGGTCTACCCAATTATGGGACAGAGCACACTGCTTCAGTTTTCGCCTTTCAGCCCCAATCTAGGGGCCTTCGCAGGCAGTCGCTTTCGCGACAAACTATTTTTGTGTTATGTTTTACCGACAAAGAAATAAAGGGAGACTACGATAGATCTATTTCAAGCTATTTAGCTCTCATCAGCTATACATTGCAACTGGGAACAACCATAGCCTTAACTATACGCACTTTTGTTGGCAGGGTGATGTCTCTGCGTTTTAGTATGCTGTCTAGATTTGCCATAGCTTTGCTCTCCAGGCGCATCTTTTAATTTCTTGGTTGCAGTCCCCATCTGCGGTGATTTTGGAGCCCAGGAAAATAAAATCTATTTGTATCAACTCTGGTGCTGGAGGAGACTCCTTGAACTGCAAGGTGATCCAGCCGGTCAATCCTAGAGATCAACCCTGACTGCTCTTTAGAAGTCCAGATCCTGAAGATGAAACTCAAAGACTTTGGCCACCTCATGAGAAGGAAGGACTCACTGCAGAAGAGTCTAATGCTGGGAAAGATTGAAGGCAAAAGAAGAAGGGGACAGCAGAGAATGAGGTGGCTGGATGGAGTCACTGAAGCAGTCGGCATGAGCTTCAATAGACTCCAGAAGATGGTAGAGGACAAGAAGGCCTGGAGGAACGTTGTCCATGGGTCAGACATGACCGCAGCTAACAAGAAGAAGCTCTCATCAGCAAGTCATACCCTTCTGGGCAATGGTGGGATTCAAATTTTTTTACTACAGGTTCTGTGGGCATGGCTTGGTGGGTGTGGCTTGTGGGCGTGGCAGGGGAAGGATAGTGTAAAATCCCCATTCCCTCCCCACCCCACTAACCTGCTTTCCAGCTCTGTTTTCCTGTGCAGGGCAACAAAAGAAGACCCAGCCAATCAGTGGGACTTGGGAGGCAGAGAATAGATGGGGGTGGGGCCAGTCAGAGGTGGTATTTGCCAGTTCTCCAAACTACTCAACATTTCCACTACCGGTTCTCCAGAACTGGTCAGAACCTGCTGAGTACCACCTCTGCTTCCGGGGTAGCCATCCCAGAAGGTTATGGCTAGCAGATGAGCGCTAAATAGCTTGAAATAGATCGATACTAGCTTCCCTTTATTTCTTTGTCAGTAAAACATAAATTTAACCCCTAAGGGCCCAGTTACATCTTATCCTTTTGAACGACCGTCTGCAAACTGACCGAACCTCTGTGATTTGCACTCCTACAGATCATTTAAGCTGCCAAAGAATAATGCTAACACTTGCCAAGGCATTCGTCAAACAACAGGACATTAATACTGTGCATGACTCCGAAGTTTCAAATGGAACAGGTGACTTGGGACAGCACACCTGCACTGCTCCTATCAGTGCATCCTGAAACTGAGTGTCTTTTTTCTAGGAGAGACATACAAGCCAGCGGGGGGGAAAAAACTCAGCCTCTTTAAAGAGTTGCAGACAAGTGCATTTGGACAGGCTCTGAATTTTTCTTGTTCGTTTGCCATGCAGGCTCCTACAAAACCTTCCTGTCCCAAGCTAGGATATTGTGCTGCCTTTGGTGCACCTTAAAAGGCTTAGTAAACCCTGCAAACAGGCCCAACACATTTCCAGGGGAAGCTTCCTTCCAGGCAGAACCTTTATTTATTCTTGGCGCCTTTTCCAAGTCAGGAGGCCTAACAAACCTCCTTGCTTGTGGAAATCTTTCAGAAATGCCCTCCGTTGGATCACTTCCATCCCTCTGCCCTCCTGCCTTGCTCCTTGTTCCATGTTTGGGTTTTGCTGGAAATGAAAACAGGGCAGTTCTCCTCAAGCCCAGCAACCCTTCCCCTTCCCATATCTTTCCCACAGATTTGTTTCGGTGTTCCTCTACCCCAGCCAAGAGGCCCCGTTTGATCAAAAGACAGCATATCCACATCTCCAATTCCAGGTTTCTAGACCTCTAACTGCCAGCCTGGCTCTTCTCTTGTGAATATCCCATTATTAGGTTAAGAGGCGGAGCTGCAAGAGGGGCCTCTGCCCCCTTTGGTGCTATCACCCGGTTCTTCCCGCTCTGCGCCATTTTCTTCATACACAGCAAGGTGCAGTTCCCCAACACAATGTACCCGACCGCCGGTGCGTTTAAAGGGTTCCCTTTGCGGCAGGTTTCTCTCTCGTGCTGGACCAGGGAGGCCCGCCGTCGGTAGCTTTTCCCGCAGTCTTTGCAACTATAAGGCCTCTCCCCAGTGTGCACCCTTTTATGCTGGCTGAGGTTCGAGCTGTTGCTGAAACTCTTCCCACAGTCTGGGCATTTGTGAGGCCTCTCGCCTGTGTGGATTTTGACGTGCCGGCGGAGTTGGGATTGGCAGGGCCACCGCTTGCCACAGTAGGAGCATTCGTAAGACGGGGTCTTGGCTGGTTGAGCGAGGTCAACACACGGGCCGCTCTTTCTCACGCCCTCAGCGGCCGCCTTTTGGGAGAGGTGCTCAGGGACTCTCTTCCGGCTGGGGCTTCTGTCTGAATCACCTTCCTTGCAAACCGCTTTTTTTCTTGGCATCTTCCTGGCTGAGTTTCCTTGGGAGTGTCTCAGTCTCTCCTGACCTCCAGGCCTTCCTGCTACTTCAGGTACCCGGAGAAATGTCCCTCTGCCGCCTCTTTCTGAGGAGATGTCACTGAATTCAGCCGCCTGGACACTTTCCGGATGAAGATTCACCTCCTCGTTCTCATGTCCTGCGGCGAAGCAAGGATCTGGGTTAGTTCGTCCTCGTACGTCTTTTGGGGATATCTTGCTTGATTCTCCGCGCTCCGTTTCCTCTGGGTGGTGGCTCCAGCTCCTGTCTCCATCACCTGCCCAAAGAGAATCACAAACATTTGGCACTGAATTTCAGAAAATCTGATGACTTTCTTAAAACAACAGAGGAGTTGATAGAATCAGATAGGATGCCGATGATTAACAATAGCAATAGCACGTAGACTTATATACCGCTTCGCAGGGCTTTACAGACCTCTCTTAAGTGGTTTACTGAGTCAGCATATTCCCCCCCCCCCCCAAAAAAAAATCTGAGTCCTCGTTTTACTGACCTCGGAAGGAGGGAAGGCTGAGTCAACCTTGAGACGCTCAGAATCTAATTCCTGGAGTGAGCAGTGAGCTAGCCCTGCAGTACTGCATTCTAACCACTGTGCCACCACAGCTCTTAAGAGATGGGATTAATATCTTTTTTTACATTAGGTAAAGGTTTCCCTCACATACGTGCTATTCGTTTCCAGCTCTAGGGGGCGGTGCTCATCTCCGTTACAAAGCCAAAGAGCCAGTGCTGTCCGAAAACGTCTCCGTGGTCATGTGGCCGGCATGACTAAATGCCGAAGGCGCACGGAACGCTGTTACCTTCCCACCAAAGGGGTCCCTTTTTTTTTCTACTTGCATTTTGACATGCTTTTGAACTGCTAGGTTGGGCAGAAGCTGAGACAAGTAACGGGAGTTCACTCCATTACGTGGCATTAGGGATTCGAACTGCCAATCTGCCAACCTTTCTGATCGACAAGCTCAGTGTCTTAGCCACTGAGCCACCGCATATCTTTACATTAAGGATAAACTAAGACTCTTATCTAACCATTCCCCAGGCGGTATCTCTGGGCCCAGTCTTGTTTTTCCCCCCCACACAACATCACCACACGAAATGACTCAACAATCCCAAATCGAGAATTTAGCAGGAAAGGTTTTCTTTTTTTCTGCAATAGGCTGCCATAGCCTAGTGTCAGAAGTTTTTGAACAGAAGCTTCAGTCTCTAGTAGGTTCCAAACTCCCAACCACTCTTGAATTAAGGCAGGGGTCCCCAACCACTGGGCCGCGGACCGGTACTGGTCCGTGGAACATTTCCTACCGGGCCGCCGGTTTGCTGGGCGCCGCCATCTTGTTTGACGAGAAAGTGCTTCCGGGTGAGCTTTTCCGGTTGGAAAGCGGTGTTTGGGTTCTGAAGGAATCCTCGCGCCTTAGTTTCATCGAAGGGCGGGGGCTTCGAATGAAACTAAGGCGCGAGGATTCTTTCAGCACCCAAGGCAAGGCGAGCCGAGCGACCGTCCCAAAGCGAAGCCCATCAACAAAGGTACAAAGGAGGAGTTGAAGGTGGCAGGGAGAAGCGGGGGACGGCTGGCTGGCCGGTCGCTCGGCTTGCCTTGCCTTGTCATGCGTGCTGATGCCAGTACCGGGCCGCGGATCATTTTGTGATGCCGGTACCGGGCCGCGGCACAAAAAAAGTTGGGGGCCACTGAATTAAGGTACCTCAAAGTGGGCTAATTTGCAGAATGCATCCAAAGTCTGGGACCCATACATTTTATAAAATACTCGCTCAAGTCAATACCCGTGGAAGAAAGAAGCAGAAAGAAGCAGCCCGGTGGCTAGGCGAGGCGCGTGGGATGAGTGGGGCAAGTTCCCCCCCTCCGCCCTTTCCCCCCCTCCCCTCACTACTTCGTGTTGTTCGCAATGCAAGCGACGCAAGCTTTGTGTTCCCTCGGGCCATTTGGGCAGCGCAGCCTTGTGTTCCCACACAGCCTGGATTAATTGCTTTGGGGGTGACATTTCTCTGCAGACCACCAAAATTTTCTCACGGACCATCAGTGGTCCCCGGCCCACTGGTTGGCGACCACCGTAGGATTCCTGGTTTTCACCCAGGCAGTGCCGGACCTTTTAACTCCCAATAAATCCTTTTGAAGTTTTGGAAGTTTGGCTTGAGACTCGTGATTTAAATGGGGTTAAGTGCTGGAATCCTGACATGTTGCTTAGTATGGAGTAGCTGGTCCCATCTGCTGTTGTCAACTGAAGCACTATTTCTATAGACAATCTGAGCTTGGATTTTAAACGTTTGGTGTCACATTCAGCCACTCCTACCATTGACACTTACTGAAGAAGGGAGGGCCAAAATCACTATCACGGTCAACCTCTGCGCAGTTCCCCGGCTCCTCTGTATCTGATGGGTCCAATTCTGCCTTGGGAGAGTTAACAACCACCTCTTCATACGGCTCCAGTTCCTGCAGGGAGAGAATCCAGATCAGTATGGCTGATGTTGAGGAACCACAGAAATTAGAAGAAGAAAGATGATGAATGTATGCATCCAAAATAGAGATGGTTTGCAATTATAATCATTATAACGACTAAAATGTAAATAAGCTAATATATTGTAAAAAGAAATTTAGTTAAAAGTACTCGGTGACATTATTGCTATTGTTATGTGTCAAAAAAGCACAACAAATGATGTTCTTTCTGCGCCAACTCAGAAAGCTCAAACTGCCCAAGGAGCTGCTGATTCAGTTCTACAGAGGAATTATTGAGTCTTGTCATCTGCACCTCTATAACTGTCTGGTTTGGTTCTGCAACCCAACAGGACAGACACAGACTTCAGAGGGTAATTAGGACTGCAGAAAAAACAATTAATTCTATTCTATTCTATTCTATTCTATTCTATTCTATTCTATTCTATTCTATTCTATTCTATTCTATTCTATCGAGGACCTGTATACTGCACGAGTCAAAAAGAGGGCTGTGAAAATATCTATAGACCCCTCACTTCCCGGACATAAACTGTTTCAACTCCTTCCCTCAAAACGACGCTATAGAGCACTGCACACCAGAACAACTAGACACAAGAACAGTTTTTCCCCTGAATGCCATCACTCTGCTAAACAAATAATTCCCTCAACACTGTCCAACTATTTACAAAGTCTGCACTACTTCTATTAATCTTCTCATCACTTCTTATCACCCATCCCCTCCCACTTGTGACTGTATGACTGTAACTTTGTCACTTGTATCCTTATGATTTATATTGACTGTTTCCTAGTATAGTTTGATTGCTTATTGTACCCTATGACTATTATTAAGTGTTGTACCTTATGATTCTTGACTCTTGATGAACGTATCTTTTCTTTTACCTATACTGGGAGCATTTTCACCAAGACAAATTTCTTGTGTGTCCAATCACACTTGGCCAATAAAAGAATTCCTATTCTATTCTATTCTATTCTATTCTATTCTATTCTATTCTATTCTATTCTATTCTATTCTATTCTATTCTATTCTACTCTACTCTATTCTATTCTATTCTATTCTGTTAGTGTATATTAGTAATGCTATCACTACATGTGCTAATACTTAATGTGGTATTCTTTATGGTTTTCTTCTTTTTTCTTGTAAATGGTATTGTCAACTCATAAAATATTTCTAGGGTCTTTCTAGAATTGCCAATAGAAAGAGAGGGGGGAGCTTGCAAAACCGAAACTGCATTCCATAAATATTTTCAAAGATAGTAACTAGGTGACTGAAGTTTCTGCTGCGCAAAATTCTAACTGGAGAGCATGATTGATGACTCTTGGCTATGGATGTGTCCCATTGGAGAATATGAATTATGATACACCCAAGGAGTGAGGGGGAAACCAGGGTCAAGGGTGACAATGAATGATGTGTCTCAGAGTCGGCTACACCCAGGCAGTGCTGGCATGTTAACTCCCAATAAATCCTTCTAAAGTTTGGTTCTCGAGACTCGTGATTTAAATGTGGATAACTGCCGGAATCCTGACAATACACTGTATTCAAAAATGTTTATGAATAAAATTATTTTAAAAAAGCATCAACATCAGATTGAACAGCAATGATGAACATGAGCCGAGCATGGAAAAACAAGGACCTCAGCCCGGCCACCAAATGTAGGTTAGTTTTACTCTACTGTGTTCCCCATAGCTACCTACAATTGTGAAAGTTGGACCTTAAAAAAGCAAGACAGGAAGAAAATTGACTTGTTTGAGCTGTACTGTTAGAGAAGGTTTCTGTGTATTCCTTGGATAGTAAAGGTGACTAACAAGCAAGCACTGGAACAGGCAAGCATAACACCAGACATATCACTTGAAGGCTAGAATCAGAAAACTGCTTTTAGACATGCACTGGAACAAGCAAGCACTGGAACAAGCAAGCATAACACCAGACATATCACTTGAAGGCAAGAATCAGGAAACTGCTTTTAGACATCTTATGTGGGGTCTAAAATGTTATGTCTAAAAATCACTCACTCGCTTTAGACATGTTACATGGAGGAATTCCATGGAGAAAGCAGTTACGTTTGCAAGGGTTAGCAGTAAACGGAAACCAGACTGTCAAAAAACATGATGGCTGGACACCATCAAAGCTGACACCAGCCAGAGTAGAGAACAACTCAAAGAAGCAGTGCAAGATTGGAAGATGTAGAGAGACCTGGCCCAGAGAATCGCCAAGGGTCAGACTTGACATTTTCATCATCACCATCTCTTACCCTATGCCCGTCATGGCGAACCTATGGCACTTGTGCGGGCACACGAGCCCCAAGCAAACTTATCTCACTGCACATGCACGCAACTCCCTGCTGATTTTGGGGCCTTTTTCAGCCCGCCAGAGGCTTAAGGGAAGCCTCTGCAGGCTTTGCAGGCTGAAAAATAGGCCTGTTTTGTCACTTCTTGTATTTCTGGAAATACCGGAAGTGATGAAATGGGCCCATTTTTTTGTCCTGCAAAGCCTGCAGAGGCTTACCTCAAGCCCCTGGCAGGCAGAAAAAGGCCTCAAACAGGAAAATCAGCTGGGAAGCACAGTGCAGGTAAGGGGACAGTGGGGGGGGGGGGGGGAATGGGGGGCGCAGGCGCAAGGGGTGTGGGGGGGCGTGTACATTGCCTTCTGGGCACAGAAGCCCAAAAAGCTTAGCCACCACTGCCCTATGCTGTGATCAGCACCAAGGCTGGCCTCCAACACAGGACAATTTGGAAGCTCAGGACAATCAACTGGCATTCATTTCCAGTTTTGGGCCAAATTGACCCATAGCAAAAAAATGGGTTCTTTTTATGATGACTGCAAAAAATGTTGTAAAATTGGATTTTATGACTGTTACTGTTGTGGCCCCTCAGCGGCTGACGGAGCTGGCAGCAGAGTTGGACAGTAGCGAGGAGGCTGGGGAGGAACCTAGGCCAGTCTTGGAAGCTGAGAAGGACTCGGACGAGGGCTCTGCACTGGAGGCAGGGATGGGGCCACGGCAGGCTGACAGTCATCAGCTGCCTTCAGACTCAGACAGCAGTGAGACGGGGAGTGTCTGGAACTGGTTACAGCCTGCGCATGTGCAGGGCTACCAGAAGACAAGAACAAATGAGAAAACAGGGTCGACTCAGGAGTAAGACCACACTTTGGAGATGATTGGCCCCTCCCCTAGGACATAAAAGAGGAGAGAATGGGACGTGAGCTTTTGCAGGAAGCAATTAGTTCGTCTGGTCGATTCAAGCTTTGAAAAGTTCTGTTTGACTCTGTGTCAAGTTTGGCCTTGCCCTGAATCTGGCAATTAGTCCTCTGGCCCCATTCCAAGTGCGATAAGGTGGGTGTTTATAAAAACATTCCCCTGAAAGACCATTCATGAAGCCTTGCAGGCTGTGAATGAACGTAATTCACAGCCGCGGAGATAAAAGAGGTTTTGCGGAACTAAGTTTGTGCTTTACGCTTTCTAAGGAAGCCTAGGTCAGAACAGTTACGACTTACAAATGCAATGAGCAGGATCCATTAAGGTTGTAATTTGAAGGCTACGTCTAACACACCAGCCAAAAATTCCAGAATTTGGAAAAGCTCTTACCTGCTGTCTTCTCTGTAGATTCAGGAGGAAATCTTCTGCTAGAGTGACAGCCTGGGCACAGGTCTGGGGTCTGCCTTCTCTTACCCAACCTTGTACATCCTCAGGCAGGATGGTCAGAAACTGCTCCAGGACCACCAGCTCCAAGATCTGCTCCTTGGTGTTCCTCTCTGGCTTCAACCACTGGTGGCAAAATCTCCAAAGCTGCTCACAAACATTTCTGGGCCCTTCAGCTTCCTGGTAGGAGAACTGACGGAAACACTGGCTCTGTTCTCCCAAGCTATCTATGTCCTCATCCCAAATCTCATCTTTGACTTGCACGGGAGAATGTGGGTCCTTCTCACAGGTCCTGCAGGTCTTCTGGTTGAATACCTTTTCTCTACTAGATCTTAGCTTGGTCTCTGCTATCCCCTTTAAGGAGGGGAAAGAAGCTCGGAATTCTTCAGGAATCTCCTCCGGTGGTGGACATCGAGCCAGGTGTGGACATCTTTCTGAAAAATAAGGAGCTTGCATGGTCTTCAGGAATTTCTGCCACTGGGTTTCCCAGCGCTGTTGCCGTTCGTCTTCCAGTTCCTGCTTGATTGGTTTCAAGAGCTTCTGGAACTGAAACTCAGCCCCAGTTCCAGCCTGGGTGACCTGGAGGCCCTTCTGGGCAGCCTTGGTTTTTTTTCCCTTTCCATCGCCTTCAGGGTCTTCCAATTCCGTTTTGAGTTCCTTTTGCTCTGAGAATTAGAATCAAGGTTACCAACATCATTCCTGGCCTCGTTTTGCTTTATTTCTTCCAAAACGGCTTCTCCTCTGGAAATATCGAATTGCTAACTAGAGCGTACAAAACTTTTGCTAGACCAGTACTCAAATACAGCTCATCAGCCTGGAATCTGCACTGTATATCGGACATTAATACGATTGAATGAGTCCAGAAGTATTTCACGAGAAGAATACAACACTCCTCTGCTCGCAACAGAATACCCTACACCACCAGGCTTGAGATTTTGGGCTTGGACAACCTTGAACTACGCCCCCTACGGTTGGACTTAAGCATAGTATACAAAATTATCTGCTACAATGTCCTACCAGTCAATGACTACTTCAGCTTCAACCGCAACATTACAAGAGCACACAACAGATACAAACTCAACATAAACTGCTCCAAACTTGATTGCAGAAAGTACGACTTCAGCAACAGAGTGGTCAGTGCCTGGAATGCACTACCAGACTCTGTTGTTACATCCTCTAACCCCCCACTCCTTTAACCTCAAACTCTCCACTATGGACCTCACCCCATTCCTAACAGTAAGGGGCGTGTATAAGTGCACAATCGTGCCTACCATCCCTGTCCTATTGTCCCCATTTATTCATACCTATTTCCTGTATTCTTACTCATGTTTATACTTATACCTATTATCTTGTAAGCGACTGACAAATCAAAAAATAAAAATAAAGACAGGCTGAAGTCTTAGGAAAGGGTTAAGTTCAGCAGACACAAATGTGTTGGTGAAAAGTGGCAGAAGTCCTTCTCTTCTGAGTTTTCTTTTGAGCTCCCACCCCCACCTCCCCAGTTTTCAATAGTTTCTGAAGTGAAGAACATACCCAAACTCTAGAGTACTGCTTCTCATCCTTAGCAACTTTTTAAGAGGTGTGGACTTCAGCTCCCAGAATTCCCCACATGGCTGGTGAATCCTGGGAGCTGAAGTCCAACTCATCTTAAAAGTCGTCCAGTTTGTTAGATCTACATAATCAGTCTCTACTCTGCTACAGCAGTTGTGGCATTGTCTATTTACCGCTGGGTAGGTTAAAGTGCCAGTAATTCCCTATTTTTGCAAGTATAAATTCCAGGAGTACTTCCATCCTTATGTAAGTTACACAAAGTTTGCGGAGTCCTTGATGCTGAGCTTGGTTGTTTGCTGGCAGACATTTCATTACCTAAGTAACATAGTCAGTGCTACTGAATGTGGAATTTAATTCCTGTTTAAAATACAATAAGTTGCCCTGCCACTGTTGGTGAGGATGTGGTTTTCTCCTTGGTAGTTCCTTGATTAGAGTATTGTTTTTCACTTGTTTGCCAGGTGTTAATCCCTGCTTAACTGAGTGTTGGTTGCTGGATATGATCTATTCTGGTCTTTTTGTTTCCTTCCTAACTTTTTAATGTGTCTTTTGAATGGTGTGTAAATGTGATTTAGTATCTCTATGTATCAATTGATGGCTGATTTATCTGAAATCATACCCCCCCCC